ACAGGATTCACTGGAAAAGACTCTAATGCAGGGAAAGATTGAAGGCAAAAGGAGAAAGTGATAGAAAAGGATGAAATGAATAGATGATGTCATGGAAGCAATGAACATGATCTTGAACAGACTTCAGGACATCGCAGAGAACAGAAGTTTGTGGCGTACTATGATTCATGGGGTCACAAAGAGTGAGACATGACTGAACAACCAAATAACAACTATATTTATTCACTATCCCACTCAACACAATGGCTCTTCCAAACATTTTCATCTCTCCCCCAACCTCCCATGGCTCCCCCTCTCAGCACCTTCTTAACCGAGACACATTTTACTGAAAAAATTCAGGCTATTTGCTGAGAGCTCCCTCTTTACCCACTCATCTCACTTCACTCACATGCCTTTTGCCACTAACTGCTCCGTTCCCCATATCTCACATGATGGGAGGCCCTTCTCCTTGCCTGGGATAAACTCCTCTACATGCACAAGTTATCCCATTCCATCCCATCTTCTCCAGTAGATTGCCCTATCACCCCTACTCTGTTACTTATCTTCAATCTCTGGCGGCTTCCTTACAGCCTACAAACATGCCCATGTCTCCTCTGTCATCGAAAAGCCCCCACTTGATCCATACATCCCTACCAGCTATCAACCCATATCTCTCCTCCCTTTTATGGTCAAACTCCTTGAAAAGGCTGTCTACAATAGGTGCCTCTGCTTCCTTTCCTTTCACTCTCTTCTTAACTCTCTACAATCTGGCTTTCCACCTCATCATTCAACTGTTACTGTTTTCTCCGTAGTTACCAATTATCTCTTAATTGCCAAATCTAATGGACTTTTCTCAGTTTTCATCCTTCTTGGCCTCTACGCCACCTTTATACTGTTAATCACCTCCTTCTCCTTGATAATCTCTTCTCTTTAGGTTTTCATGAAATACTTTCTTCTTGTTTTCCTCCTACCTATTTGACTTTTACTTCTTAGTCTCCTTGCTGTATAATTCATCCAGGGTATATTCACTGTGAGTGTCTCATGAAGCTGTGTCCTGGATCTCTTCTCCTCACTCCCTACATTGTTTCACTTGGTGATCTCATCAATTCCTATAGATTCAGTTATCATCTTTCAGCTGATGATTCTCAGATCTACTTATCTACTCTTAACCTCTCTGCTGACCTCCATTCTCACGTCTCCAAATGCCTACTGGGAATCTCTAACTGGATGTCCTGTAGACATCTTAAACTCAGCATATCAAAAACTGAACTCATTGTTTTTTCCCTCGAACCGTCCCTTCTTCCTAACTTTCCTATCACCATTGAGGGTACCACTACTTTTCCTGTCATCTACATTTGCAACCGAGGTGTTATCCTTGTTATCTCAGTCCCCATATCCAATCTGTTGCCAAGACCTGTCAATTTTACTTTCATAAGATCTCTTGCATTTGCCCCCTTCTCTCCTCTTACGTAGACACTACCCTGATATAGGTAATTTCTCATCATCTCACACTTGAACTATTACAGTAGGCTATGAGTTAACCTTTCTGCCACAAGTCTCTCTTTATTCCTGTTTATCTTACATTTAGATGTCAAAGTGGTATTCTAAACCACAAGTCTGACCATGTCATCCTCTCTAGTCAGAAAACAACAGTGGCTGTATTGCCTCCAAGATTTGGGAAGGAGAGCAGAATAACAAAGATTTTTTTCCCCATTTACTTTCTTCTCTTCTAAATTTAGCTTCATTGGTTTTGTTTATGCAAAAAACTGTCTAATTTTATGTAATCAAAAGTGTCTGTTTTACCTCCCATGATCTTCTCTATCCCTTGTTTGGTCATGAACTTTTTCCCCATCCATTAATCTAACAAGTGATTTCTTCCTCGCTTCTCTAATTTGTCCACAATGTCAGACTTTTAAAGTTCATCTTTGTCATTTTGATAGGTGTGAGGTGGAAGCTCAGTGTTAATGTGTTTTAATGCTTATTTATTTTATTAATTATTACTCAAGTGGAGCTGTCTTTCATTTAGTTAAGAGTTTGTAGTTCTTCTTTTGAGCACTTTCCATGTCTTTAAAAAAAAAAACTGTGTTTGCTAATGAGTTTCCTGTGCATCTATATTAGCCTTTTTCAGCCGATCTCTTTTTTCTTCCTTGTTGGCATCATTGCTGTTTGATGTGTTATTTATTGGTGACATGTTTTGCAAATGTTATAAAATATATCTCAGTTGAATGGAAAAAGTGATATGTAAGCAAAATGCCTTGTGAAATTTGAAAAAAAATAGGCCTTGTGGGAAAAGCCACTGAAGGACTACTGTAGTAGAAAATGCAAGATCCAAACTAAATGTAAGAAACCTCTTTTATTTGAACCCCATTAGTTCAGTTCAGTTCAAGAAATATTTATTAAGTATGTGCAATGTGAAGAAAATTATGCTAGTTGCTAAGAATACAAAGACAAAAACAAAAACAGTCCCTACTACTAAAAGTAGGGGCAGTTGAGTGGCACAGTGGATAGAGTACCAAAAGACTACTTCTCCTGAGTCCAAAGCTGGCCTCAGACATTTACTAGTTGTATGACCCTGGGCAAGTCACTTAACCTTGTTTGCCTCAGTTTCCTCATCTGTAAATTGAGCTGGAGAATGAAATGGCAAACCACTCCAGTATCCTTGCCAAGAAAACTCCAAGTGGGGGCACAAAGTCAGACACAACTGAAATGACTGAACATCAAATAATTTTAACATTTAAAAAACCCACCTGTGGCATTTCTCTCATTCTTCATGGTCTTTTGCATAACATTGGCAGCACCTTCATAATCATATTGCCCCTTTTTTCCCCTTATAACCTGGTGTACAACTTAGTCCTGAGATCATCAAAGACTCCAGAAAGCAGATAGCATCATGTCTGAATTACTTGGAATGAGCAATAATTTTGACATGGTTCCATTTTGTGAATAGTCATGTATATGCCTCTGCTGACACTAGGCTGACTCAGGGTATCTAACTTTCACCAGATGAAACTGAATTTATCTAATTCCCCCACATTTAATTAATTCTCTGCCAGTTGAGTAATGGGGATTGTGATATACCTACATTTTTAATTGCTCTCTTATGTTGTGTTTTTAATTCTTTGGTTTTTAAGAATGGATTTTACTTCAAAGGAAGTATGCAAAATTTATAACTCTTTAAAGAGTACACTTCAGTAACTGTAAGAGATATTGCAAAGGCTGTTGGTGTAGAAGTCAAGAGTTTCAAGGATTATTTGGGTCCACATTGAAACCAAATAAGTTGCATCAAAGTACAAAGGAAAGTGCAATTGAAGAGTTAAAATGAAACTAAAAACTTACAAACTGTTATTGCAGAACAGCCTAATTAATCTTCCCAAAACAAGCAAAGATCTTCAGAGGGAACAGGCAGGTGGTATGGTTGTTATTGACTCCTTTACAACTTGGAAGAACAGTGAAAAGACCAGTTTTTTTTTTCCTTAAAAGACTGCTAACCACTTCTTTTAAGAAACAACAATTTGTAGTCAAGACAATACAAAGATTATAGTACTAAAAATTGTGAAATCCTTTTTACAAAATAAACTATACTCTTTTTCATCTAAGGTTATATCAAAATCATTGTCAGAAATTCGGAAGAGCATATAATATATGAGTATCTCCATTAGATTTTAAAATATTCACCCAAAATAATGTTTGGCCAGTTTTTTATTTCCAGTGGGCCTGGAGGTATTGGTGATGTCTAATAAATGCATTGATATGCTAAAATATAGAATTGCCCTAGAATTATAGAAATTTCCAAATAGAGATTGAATGCTGCATGCAACGTAGTCTTGCTCTATGTCACAGATCGTGAAAGGTTAAGAAAGTTATCCAAGATGGAGATAAACATGCTTCATTGCCCTTGGAATTGGCTTGATTAAAACCCCACTGAAAACTGATGGGCTATAATCAAGAAAAGAGTTGGAAAAAAAGGACTGTTTATCAAAAATATACTTACTATCCAATGTAATACAAATAGGGTTTTGTGATGAATTAAAATGTGTCAAGGTTTTATGAACTCGGTGCTATATTGTATAAAACAAGTGATTATAACTAAGAGATATGATGGTTTTAAAAGGTTTTAAAGACATAAAAATTCATAAGGTTTATTGTATAAGGCAATACATTGAGTTATTTTACTTTGTCCCAGTTAATTTGAACACTATCGTAGGTACTCTCTTACTATCTCCTTACTTATCTTAGGTTTCAAGTTGCTATCAGATATTTTTGTTTTGTTCTTTCCAGCCCCAAAATAATGCTCTTTAGCAGAGAAACAGAAACCAAAGAAGATGAATTTTTTCTGCCCTCTCTGTCATCAATGATCACTCTCCTATCCAATACAAGTACCAGTCCTTTTCCTTCTTGATCCTAATTTGGTTTATCAATTCCCTCTGCATCTGTACTGGTTTCTTTAAGATGGCTCCCCATCCTTTATCATGGGAACTAGAGTCAATTTCCACATGTTTGAAAGAATTAGCGGAAGCATGTACTTTATACCAAACTCTTTTATGGCAAAGTATAGCCATGATGTCTATCAAAATAGGTATTATACCGAAAATTTCATACGATTTTGGAACAATATTATCCCTAATGCTAATTTAAAAAAAGAACAGCAAGTATGATAATTAGGTGTTGTGAAGGTTTTTGTCTCTATGAAATTAGAAAGAAGCTTTGATTGGGAATACTTATCAATAAATTAAGGTAATTAACTCTCTTCGAGGTCACTATTACTGCCCTATGATACTCTGATATTTTGTTAGATTATATTTTATTTTAGCAATTAATTGGTTAATTATATAGCTTAGAAGACATGAAAGTGATTAGTAAATTGCTAAAGTAAAATGATTTTCTTTATGGAAAATAGAGGCTATCTCTTAGACCGTAGAGTAAAACACTTTTAGTAGCTGATTGGCCAGGTTTTTACAATGCATTGATTGTCATTATTTCCTACTTTTCCTTACACCTGGTTTTAAATTTTTCTGTTGCAGGAATCTTCATGAAAGGACAGCTGAGTCTTGTAGACCTCATCCATCAATATATTCGTTATGATGAGATCCATGAAGCAATAAGCATCCTTAGCAGCATGAACTGGAATACTATGGGCCACCAGTGCTACATGGGCATGAGTGCTATCGTAAACCATCTTCTTAGACAACGGCTAACACCAGAGAGAGAAGGTCAGTTAAACTGTAATTCATTAGTGCATCACATCTACGAAGTAATTTTCATCCTTTTTTCCTTGTTGTTGTTGTTTGTTGTTTTTTTTTAGATTTTTGGAGGCAATTGGGGTTAAGTGACTTGCCTAGGGTCACATAGCTAGTATGTGTCTGAGGCCAGATTTGAACTCAGGTCCTCCTGGCTCAGGGCCAGTGCTCTATTCACCACACCACCTAACTGCCCCTATCCTATTTCTTTTGTCTTACTTTTTGAATCTTCTAGTTTATTATGAACTTTAAAAATCACCAACAAACAAGAGCATTGTTTATGAAACTGTCAACTTGTGGGGTTTTTTGGGTGTATATTAAATTTAACAGCTGTAATATAATAGCCCTGTCTGTGTCCTCTTCTGAAATATATATAGGTGCATATGTAAGTATATACATATATATATATATATAATTTTAATCAGTTATTTTTTCTTTGATCCTCACAAGAGCCAATAAGTAAAGCAAGCAATTCTAAGGCTCACTGAGGTGAAGGTACTTGCTAAACATTGCATAGCTGCAGAGACGAGTCTTAAAGCCAGTTCATCTGACTTTGGGTACAATATTCTTTCCATCATCCTATGATCCTAGAATCACAGATTTCAAGCTAGGTGAGTCCTTAGAGGTCAGTCAATCCAATTTCTTCATTTTAGAGAAGAGCAGAGATCTGGGCAGCCACCGGCACAGTGGATGATAGAGTTCTGGACCGGGTTTCAGAAAGACCTGAGTTTAAATCTAGCCTCAGTCACTTCCTAGTTGTGTGACCCTGGATGAGTCCCTTAACCTCCATCTGCCTCAGTTTCCTCCTCTCTTGGGATAATAATAGCATCTTCCTTCCAGGGTTATTGTGAGGATTAAATGAGATATTTGGAAAGCATTTTGCAAATCTAAAAATACTCTATGAATGCTATTATTATTAGCAATTATTAAGTGCCTAGCCCAAAGTTAGACAAATAGTAAGCAACAAAACCAGGATTTTAATCCAGTTTCTCTAACCCCAGGTCTAACATGCTTTCACCATACCATGTTTGATGCTCCTCCTTTGCTGTTAATTTATTCAACTAATATCAAATACACAGTTGCATTTAAAAAAATAAATAGGCTGCTTTTGTGGTTGTCATCTGCGTCATTTGAGACGAGGAGAGGGGAAGTGATTTACCCAAGGTGATGCAGGTTGTAAGTGGCATAGCTAGGGTAAAGAAACCAGGTCCTCTACCTCCAAATCTGGTGCCCTTCCCATTATACTGGAGTTGTCTCCATGTCACAGAAGGTGCTCATTTAATCCTTTGGTATATAATCTTGGAGTATTTCTAGATACTCCCACAACTGGCTCAGGGTTGTTCCATTTTCCACTCATAGAAAGGTTGGACCACCTTGAAGGGCAAAGGGGCATTTGCCTGCTATCGTGAAGGCGGCCATACCTGTGGTAGTTTTAGAAACCCAAAAGAAAGTGGCAACAACCCACTGCCCTGGTTAGTCTACACCATGGGCATTTGCTCAACTTGCTCTGTGGCAGTGATCCAAACAATTCGGACTACTTCCAATATTTCTCTCCACTTAAAAAGAATATGTTAGCAGCTAATGAATAATAGTTCTCATTTACATGGTACCACATAGTTAGACAAAGCTTTCCTCAGAGGTAGGTAGTATTGGGACTGTTATCCCTGTTTGAGAGATGAGGAAATGGAGGCTTAGGTTAAATTACTTGCTCAAGCTCACACAGCTAATAAAAGCTGGTAGGAACCTTTGAGTTCCTCTTGTCCAACCCCTTAATTTTATAGATAAAGAAACTGAGGATCTGAGAGATTAAGGGATTTGTGAATCAGCCATTAAGTGCCAGGCCTGGGCTTTGAACCTGGGGCTCCTTCCTTTCCACTTTGCTACTAGTTATGAATATAATATTTCTGATATCAGCATGTGGGCACACTCTAGGATCAGATGTATACCATTAAGTGGTGAAGCTCCCAAAGGCCTTTGCTGTTATATGGGCCTCTCATAGCCAGGCCCCAAACTTAGTTTGAGGAGGAAGGATTAGCCTTCAGAAGGGAAAACAAAGAATGACATTAGCCCCTGAATGGAAATTTCAGGGGCATTTACTAATATGCAATATAAGAATATCTTTAAAAATATAAAACTTACATGAAACTGGAATATAGGCAATATGCACATTATAAGTAGGTGGTTATGTTGTTCCCCCCCCCCCCATGGATCTGACAGACACATTTCTAAAAAATTCAGAATTCTTTTCAGCCAAGATTTATCCCATATCTAACCAATTTGCCATGGTAATGTTTTCCTTTTATTAAGGAACTACAGTGAGCCCTTTTATTTATAATAATGTTATAGTTATCTTTGAGATCTTCCTCTCTGCCTTCAGTATCAAGCTGGGCTATCTAATGAATCTATAACTGTGCTGATGGTTACTTGTATTCTTTGTAGGTTGGAACATTTCAGATGCACAAAACATACTGTCAAGAAAACAGGCAATGGAAAGAGGATCCAGCTTGTTTTTGCAGTAACATTGCAATATTCCATTTTAATCTAAATTGACTGCTGCTTTGAAAGAAAATACCCTTCAAATTCAGCTTATCTTACACTCTAAAAGTGAGATAATGAGAAACTTAATTTACCAACAGTTTGGTCAAGTACATAGCAATGCATTCAGATCTGAGAAACTAAAAACATCATAATTGTGCCTAGATTTTCATTAAATGCTAAAACGAATCATTCTAATTCATGGAAGAATCATGACTCTGACCTTTCTCTGAGGTATAGTGACTGGCCATCCAGTTCTTCACTGTCCATCTCTCCTGCCACCCACCACTACCTTGGCTTCAACTTCAATTCAATTCAGTAAACATTTATTAAGCATCTACTATGTGCCAGGCACTGTACTAAGCACTGGGCATACAAAAAGAAGCAAAAGACAGTCCCTGCTCTCAAGCGGCTTACAATCTAATGGAGTTTCTCCGAGGCCCATTAAAATCTATTCATAGAAGCTTCATTCACACTAAAATATAAATGACTGATAGCAACCAAAACAAATGAGCTGGAAGGATGTTAACATTTTAATAGAGTCTGGAACCATAGACTAGAAGAATAGAACATTCTAGTTGCATTTCAGGCTTTTGTCAACAGATCGTATGGGCAGGACTTGATGCCCTTGAAATCACATTGTGCAAGCCATATGCCTTGACCTACTCTGCCTACACGTAATTGTGGTGCTATTTCTAATACTTGTATTCATTTGTTCACTTAAGCATTAGTGCACAATGTACCAATTCCACTCCCCTATCAGGAAAGGGAATTTTTCCTCCTTTTGGTTAAAGAACGCAAATGTCAAGTTTGTGAGGTGATTTTACTGGAAAAACTTGTTCAAACTGTGTTACTTTGATGAGTCACTGTTTTAATTACCCATTTGCGGTGAGAGGTTGGTTCATTATGGATTTCTTCACTTTTGACAGCTTTTTGTTGATCAGAGTCATTGTCAGCTTAGCCTTAAGTGAAAGTTTATACACAGGTTTGTTTTTGTACCAGCTGTCATATTTTAATTTCATCTTTCCTGCAACAAGCTCATATTTCATCTAAGTTGGCAAAACCTGACTGACTGCAAACATGAGTGCTCGCTTGTAATTGAAGCAGCTTCCCTTGTCTCAGCGCTGTCTCTGTTTGAACTCCACAGCACAGCTTGAGGCGAGCCTTGGATCCTTCTATGCTCCAACAAGACCCCTCTCCGATACAACTATATTGGAATATAGAGACCCAATCAGCAAATATGCAAGGAGGTTCTTCCACCACTTGCTCAGGTGATCGATTGACAGTTTTCACTTTGATTAGTTTCAAAATTAATTGCATAGTTCAGTGATCATATGTCTTAATTAAAGTATTCTTTAATATCATTATCTCTTGTTTTCTTTTTTCTTTTTATCAGTCCACTCTAGGAAGAAAAAGCACCTACCTTCCCCAATCATTGTTTACTTAATTGGTTCTTGTTTTCTTTTTAAGCATTATAATGGAGCATTGTGGAGGGCCCTTCCCTCATTGATACCTTTTAATATGTCACCCTTTCTCCTTTCTTTTGTGACAAGGATGATCACATGTGTGGTCAATTTTTAATTTAACTTAGTTGTATTTCCAGCACAAAGGAGACTTGAGAGTTTTAAAGGAATACTAGAAATGCAAATAAGTAGCCTGTCAGCCCAGGATACTTTTAACTGGAAACCTCTAAAATGTAAATCATTTACTTCCCTCCCTTTCAGAATTATTACTGTGGAATGGCTCTTCTGTTGTCTAGTCAGGTAATGTCATGTAACTTTAGTGTATCTCATTTACAATGCTAAGGAAATAGGTAAAGAAAGACATTCTTTTACCTCATTCAGACTTGTGACAAAGAATTAAATAATGTAAGTAACAAAGACAAAAAAAAAACTATAAAAAGTCAAGATATTATCACCACATATAGGATGAAATTATTTTCAATGCCATACACCAGAAGGAAAGAACTATTTCCAAATGATAATTTCACAGTTATACTATAATTATTATTATTATGTCTTTAAGAATAGTTTAAGAATAATTTTCAAATTAATTTCATATCTTTCGTTTAATTTGTTTTCAGTAAATCTATGTGGTAGGTATGGTGATCATTTCACCAGTTAACAAACCAAGGTATGGATAAATTAAGTGACTCAGGCAGATAGCAGCAGGATCTCTTGACTCTCAATCCCCATTCAACTGAATATGCATTTTATTAAATGCCTACTAAGTGCAAAGCCTTGAAGATGCAAACCCAAAAACTGAAATAGTTCCTACCTTCAAGAAATGTATGTTCTGTTGGAGGAAAAGAACATACATGAAGTAAAGTAAATACAAAATAATTCTGTCACCTAATAGCGTGGTAAATAGAATGCTGGACATGGAGTCGGAACACTTGGGTTCAAATTTCCTTTAAGATATTTACTAGTTGAGTAATCAGGGACAAATTATTGAACCTTACACAGTCTGTTTCCTCATCCTTAAAATGGGGATATTAATATTTTCATACTACCTAACTTCCAGGAAGACAGTATGAAAAAAGTGATTTGTAAACTTGAAAGCACTGTATAAATATGAGTTTTAATTTTTATTTTATACTCTATACAAAGTGATTACTGGAAACTTTCACCTAGTAAAGAATAGAATGAATGGCAGTCTTTGCTGTCTGTCCACCTACTCACCCTTTAATCTCCCCCTCCTTCCCCTCTTCCCTGCCAAAAAAAAGGACGCAAAGAAACTTTGAATTGGCATGAATACTTATTATCTGTTCAGGTGCTTTGGAACACTGAATCAAGATATATGGGGAAAATACTGTGTGGTAGTTTTTCATTCTCCATAATTAGGCTTTTGTTTTCAATGTGGTGTTTTTAACTTTGACTAGTGATTAAGGCTGTGAAAAACAATGTATCCTTAAAGGTTCTGAAGTGTTCATATGTTGCTAGAATGTGGTCTTCTGCTGAATACTTTTTCTGAATGACTCAAGGTCGGTGTATTCCAAGTGATTTTATATTGAATGAGTCAAGTGTCTATGCAAGTAAGAAAGTGCCAATAACATATGGGACTTCTATTTATATTTTGACTTAGGTAGTTGTGGAAATCTATTTGAGATTCATAACCTCAGTTATGCAGAACTCTGACTTGGTGGGAGAAGGTATTGGGTAAAAGAGGAAAGAAGATGAGGACAACCACCTGCAGATTCTCCCTACCTGCCATGCTGCTCCACACAGAAATAGATGCTCTTTTATTTTTCATGTTTCTTGGCAAAGTCTTTTTCTTACCTCCCTCCTAGAGGACCCGACTATAAAAAAGGTGAATGACAAAGAAATATAAATTCTCCTTTCTGGCTCATCTCGTAGACATCCTACTGCTGTGGCCTTGGGTTGTTGAACTTCACATAGTCTGCAAATATGAGACTTTGGAGGGTATTGATTTATTTTTAGTAGTGTAGTTCTGCCTTTAGTATAGCACCTTATGAGCGGCTATGTAGTTGTTGGGATTAAATTTTTAAATCTATCTTTTCCATGTGGTTGCTTCTGTAATTGTACTTTTTCCCCCTGGGGTGTACTGGATTTTTGTTTCCTCTTCCATATCTTACTACTGCTCCAGTTATAATGATTTTTATTAGTTCTTCTGACAGTAGGCCACACATAAGTGTTATGAAAAAAAGATTAAATACAGAGAAAATTAAAAGAGATGCTAAGTCAGAAACATATTTTTTTTGTTTAAACTGCTGCCAGGTTTGTCCTCTGCTTAGGGGGAAAGGAACCGGCCAAGTGCCTTTTCACTTTAGTGAATTATGAGTATAGCATCCCCCCCCTCCCGCATTTTCATTTGGTTGTTCATTACTTTAACATAAAATTATGAAAGAAGCTATTAAATATCTAAATGCTTAGTCGGGAGTAAGCATGAAGATTTTTAATGTTAGTTTGAGGCAACAATCTTGGCATTGCTTTTGTAACAGCACCAAAAATGTTTTCATGGCATCTGTGTTTCTTAAACTTAGGTAAAGAGAGTTAATTTTTTTTTGTTTGGGCTTTTCCTTGATTTTGCTGGTTTCTAATCTTTGTTCTAGAAAATATGCAAATCACAATTCTCACCACTTTGAACTTTGTGCCCAGAAGACTGTGCCCTACTGATCTCCGCACAGATCCAAGAAATCTTAAGTCTCAGCCACTATCTTCCCATGCAAGTTTAGGCAAGATTTTATGCTTTCAAGATCCTGGTTTCTCTAGCCAAAAATAATACTGACCAATTCTGTATCCTTAAATGCAATAGCCACAAGGAGTTGTAAGAGTTTTATGATTCAACTGTAGTCCAAAAGTTTTGTAATCTTTTTTTTTTAAACTTGTTTGGATTTCTAATTGTTAAAGTTAGTGTGTCTCTTTGTTATATTTTTCCTCTTCAGGTCTTTAAATGCTTGCTAGTAAAACTACAATGTGGTTTTAAAAATTCACCTACTTTAATGCATTTCAGGTCAAATCAAATCAAATTTATTCCTCGTTTATTAGGGTTGAAGTGCTTGACCCAAAGAATTTATATTCAGACATATGAAGACGATGACTTGGCTTAGTGGGTGGAGTGCTGGACTTCAAGTCAGGAAGACCTGAGTTTGAATCCTGCTTTAGACACTTATGAGCTGTGTGACCATGGACAAGTCATTAAATTTCTCTGAGCCACAGTTTCCTCATCTGTAAAATGGGGAGAGTAGTTCCCTCATAGGGTATCTGTGGTAAGGATCAGATGAGGTCATATATAGAGAGAATTTTGAATCTATGAGGTGGTGAAGTAGAGAGGGCACTGGGCCTGGAGTCAGGAGGCCCTGAATTCAAATCCAGCCTCAGATAATTTACTAGCTGCGTAAACCTGGGCACATCACTTATTATCTCTCAACCACATTTACTCATTTGTAAAACAAGTGCATTGGACTCAATGGCTTCTAAAATACCCTCCAGGACTAAAACTATGACCCCATGCTTCTAATAGAGGAGATGAGAGGGCAAAGATTAGGAAATATTTCCTCTTTACATCCTTTTCCTAGTCATCTGTATCTCTGTGTTACCCAAGGAAGCAATGTTCAAAAGAGGAAGACTTCATGTGATAACCAAGATACTAAATTGTAATAAAATTTTAGAACTGGAAGAGGCCATAGAGCTATGATTCAGTTCTATCATCTTCCAGAAGAGAAAACACAAAGAAACTAAGTGATTTACCCAAGAATCGACAGTTAGTTGATCAGATCTGGGACTATAAGGCAGATCTTCTGATTCTCAATTTGGTTTACTTGATAAGTCTTTAAAAAATCTCCCCAAGATTTTAGTTTTACCTGGCATAAAAAAAGAGAGGCAGCATAGCTCAGAGGGTAGAGAACTGGCCTGGAAGACCTGGGTTTAAGTCCTGCTTCTGATATATACTGACTGTGGGACCCTAGGCATGTAAGTCACTTAACCTCTCAGTGCTCTAGGTAACTCTCTGCGACTATACATTGCAGAGAAAGTGCTCACCTGCATTGGTGGAGGAAGTTTCCTCTCTTGGAAGTTCTTTTTTACAAATGAAATCACAGATGTCGAGTCCTTCTCCAAGCCTAGAATGAAAAGCTAAAGTTGTCATGTAAATGAATAACAATAGAAAGATAGACCTTGGATAGTCATGTGGCTTCTTAAAATTAGTTTGTTCATACCAGAGGTATCAAATGCTGCTGTCAGTGAACCAGATTAAAATGTAATTGGGAAATGTTTTTAGTATAAAAATACAATAGACCATAGATAATGTTAATTTATAGAATCAGGAAGACTCATCTTCCTGAGTTCAAATCCAGCCTCTGACTAGCTATGTGACCCTGGTTAAGTCACTTATCCCTGTTTGCTTTAGCTTGCTCCTCTGTAGAATGAACTGAAGAAGGAAATGGCAAACCCCTCCAGTATCTTTGCCAGAAATCTCCAAATGGGGTCATGAAGAGTTGGACACGACTGAAAAACACTGAACAACAACAGAGTCAATGTGGGCTGCAATGATCCTTTACATAAGTTTAGTGCCATCCCTGCTTCTATTTGAATTTGATGACACTGATCTTTTAGCAAGGGGGAAATTTCTTAACTGTCTCTCTCTCTCTCTCTCTCTCTCTTTTTTTTTTGCTACAAGTATAAATAAATTGCCTTGATGACATCATTCATAACCTAAATCCAAGCTTAACTTTAAAAATGTAATGTCTCATGGTTTGAAGTATAGAACAAATATCTCCTTTCTGATTACATATTTGGGGTTGTCAGTTTTT